GAATATTTATAATTACTTTTTAATCTGTGCAATAATATAATAACTTATTTATAGTATTTTTTTTCTTGCTAAAAACTAGTCATTTAAAGATGTGACGCAAGAATTAAGAAATGCATTTAATTATTATTTTTATTAAAAATGATAATTTTTATATGATACTTATTTTAACTTTATTTATGCAATAAATGAATAAAAAAATAAAATAGAAAGCATGTTTTGAGATGATAATTATTTTAAGGATAAAGTTAAAAAAATTTACTTTAAAATTATTTAAAAAATTAAAAAGATTAAATAGACTAATTTTTAGAAATTAATTTTTATTAAAAATTATAAGTTTTAATACATTTTAATTTATTGATATGCTAGAAATTTTTAATAAACTATATTATATATAAATTATTATCATATATAATGTTGTACATATTTAAAAAAATGACTATAATTATGTATTTATACTCTATTAATACGCATTTACCATTTCTTTGATTTAAGTTTAAAAATATTAAAATTATAAATTAAAAGAAAAATTTATTTATTATTTTCAAGATAAAACATATATATAATAATTAAAATATTTATAGATATAAAAAGTTTAAAAAATAATAATATTCTAAAGATTTTGGTATAAATTGAAGCGTGTTAATTGAATTCTTGTTCACCCAATGTCACAGAAGCGGTGACAAGGAAAGATTAACGGTTGTAATTACACGGCTATGAGACACGTTCTATCAAGGCATATTTTTTCACTTTGTCGAGGAGGCTTCGATTGTTTTAGAATAAAATTGAATTAATTTAAAAAATATATTTTTAAAATATAATCATTGCAATACTTTTAATATTTTTAAGATACGGTATCTATTATTAGCCTTTTTTTTAAAACTTATAAAAATGTATTCCTCATGCTTTTAATTTAATAATTTTCATTTTGATAATTTGTAATAAAATTTAAACAATAAAGAGGAATTAGAGAGTGTTTCTGAATGTTCAATTTTTTTAAAAAATTGTTAAATGAGTTTGGTTACCTTTTTTTACATTCTCTTAATAAAGTTTATTCTATTTAATAAAACAAATATTAAATAAAAAATACATGCATTTATTTTTTAATATTATAAAAGGTATTTACTATTTTTATTTAAGAATAAAAAAATTATAAAAAATAAGTATTAATTCATTAAATATAAATAAGATACATACATAAATTAATTTGAACTGTATATATTTTTTAATCAAAATATGAATTTTTTATTAAATACTGCAAAAATTGAATTTTCAACTTTAAATCAAATAAACAAATTAACCCATACTAATACAAATGAACTTAAAATTAAAATAAATTGATTTATATAAAAAATTATTGTTACTTTGTGGATAAAATAAAATATATTTAAAATAAAAATAGTTTACATAGACATTTACAAAAAAAAAAAAAAAGCACTGTTGTTTGAATTAGGAATATTTAATTTTAAAAACTATATTTTATTTTTTTAATCATAAAAATATTATATTTGTTTTGGTTTTTATTTTTAAATACTTATAAAAGTAGAGAAAAGAATAAAAAAAAATTTACTTTTTAATTTGTAATCAATGAAATAGTACCTACTATATTACACCCTAGAGAGATAGAAAATAGTTCCATCTTATCTCTGTTTTTAAGTTTTTTACCTATGAATTAATTAACGTTGATTATGGTTGTGGTTAGATGTACAAGTTGGCGTCAACCATATTATAATAGAAAAGACACAGAACGAGGGATAGGTTAGTTAAGGCTATTACATTGATAGAAATTCATTCCATTGATATCACCATCAACTCATCAACCACTTTTCACAATTCAAACAAAGTAAAACCTTACGCTATTACATGCAAGTTATAGCCCTCCATGAGAGGTAATTCTCTGCATTAATTAATCCCATTTCTTCAGAAGAAATATAGGATCTACACACGAATTATCATAAATGTTAATTTCTCATAAACAAATCCAATGGTTCACTCGATAAGCTCATCTGTAAAATCTAATATTTAAAACAAGTCACATTTCACGTTAACAAACGAAAATGCAAGTGTGAAATTGACGAACAAGCGAGAACATGTTTTTATTCTTTCTTTCTTGTGCATTGTGGAAATCATAAGAATCAAATAAAGCCATAAAACTTGACAATTAGTTGTAAAGATTTTGATTTTTCAAATAAGAATAATAGCACTCGTCAATATTTTAAATTGAATAAATGGCTGGCATATTTGGTTCAAAGAATATGTCCTCTAAAACAACTGTTTGATATGAAAGTCTTGGATTTGATTGGATGCTTATGGAGTTTGGGATACAACCATTTAAAGTGGGTCCCAGGAGTTTTGGGCAAGAAATTTCTTGATATGTACAATTTCCATTTTTTATGGAAACAAATACTTGTTTTTAATTAAGCTTCATTATATTAATTAACCATGAATACTAAGCGTGTCTGAACAAGCATCCATCATCACTAATAAAGTACAGGAAAGGGAGAACACAGAATATGCTCTCTTTTTTTCTACAATAAAAATTGAGATAATTCCTTAATCTTTAAGATCTAATCGACGTGTTGAAATACTCAAAGCACTCGTTTGTTTATTTCGCATTGATTAGAAAGAATAAATACACGTTATGTTTGTGCATTAAAAAAGGGGGGAAAAATTGAAAAGGAAAAACATAATTGAAAAGTACAAAATGATAACGAAAGTAAAGATAAAATACGTAAATGATGGAAAAAAAAAAAGGCCGATAGAGAACATTACAATTATCGTTTCTTTTATTAAATTTTATAAAACTAATTTACTTACTAAAACTCATTTTATATATTATATATTGACAGTATCAATGAACTATATGGAATAACATTGACCCAGTCTTGTGTTTGGGAAAATGGCCAAAGAAAGAAAGATAGTATTGAGATGAATGAATGCCACGTGGACGAACAAGAAATTGAAAACATTGTTAAGTCTGTGGGATTTAAGATTGCTTATAGCTTTAATCACTTAAGGTTGGTGAACCACTATCTTAAAGAGATCGATGACTTAAGTGTTACGTATGGTTTGGTTTTTCAAATTCAAATGCTTCTTTTTTTCTTTTTCTTAAAAATTATAAAAAACACATCTTATTTTTACAATTTCTTTCACAAAATCTTAGAAAAGGAAAAATAACATAAAGTGATATTATTATATTTGTATATTTATAAAAACTTGTCATTTGAAAGTAGAATTAAACAAGTGTATTGGTAAAATATTCCTTCTATAAAACGACACGTGCGAGTTTTGTATTATGATACTCTATTTTAGTCAGATGAGGATGCAAATTTTCATCTCTTAGCATCTTTAAAGCATCGGGACATCTTATATTTGACTTAGTTCATGATTTGATTGAAAGTTTACAGCGTCCGAACCATGTTTAATTAACTGATACAAGATAAAGGAAATACTTAAAGAATTTATAAATTTTTAATCTTTTTTATATAATTTATTTAATAAATGCATTTTAATCAATTTTAACAAGTTTTACAATCAAACTAGTGTTAAATATTTGAAAAAGGAATTTTAGTTTCATAATGGACTCAAATGTAACTAGCTTAAATAAATAAATAAAAAACACATGTAATGTAGAAGAAGAAAAAGTTTACTATGTATATGTCTAATTTTCTTTTTCCTTAAAAGACATACGAACATGTTTTTCATTAGAAAATTTTCTTTGTCAAGATTAAGCCCATAAAGCCTGGGCCTACATTTCATCCCAATAGATGAATCACCTTTTTTGTTTCCTTTTTCGTCTTCAACGAAAGAAGAGGTTCTAAACCCATTTGAAAATTAGTTCTCCAAACCACAAACTTCTAAGAACGATGATTTGAAAAAGTGTCAAGTGATTTTTCCACCATCGTGGTTTTAGTGGGACTGTGAATTCCTTCTTCGATTTTTTCATCCAGGAGGAAGAATATAAGTTAGAATTGGAAGACTTGAGGATGTCATGTTTGTCATTCGAGACAAAAAATTTCGAAAATTGAACCGAAAAATGTGATTAAAAGGAAGAGATTAAACGTGAAGCTGTGAGTTTTCCATGGTCTCTTCGTCTTGCCAACGTTGCCACTTGATCCTCAAAATATGATGATGTACCAAAAAGTTCTAGTAACATGCAAAAAATTCCTAATTACTTTGTTTAAAAGAAAATTTGAGTGCAAGGATAATTATGTTTTAAAAATTAGGGCACATCATAACGTTACAAAAACATAATATATATTGATTAACATATAACGTGTAAAGGTAATTTGAGTGTATCGATAAACACTTTGTATCATGTATTAAGGAAATTACTTGTATTAAGAAAAACTTACTAAGAGTTTCCATTTTTATTAGTTGAACCAACTTTGGTGACCTGTTAATTTTAGATAGATATCATCATCATAAATATAATGGAGGTAAAATAAAGCCCGATGCAATTTTTTCTAAAGCTACTCCGTCTGGACATAAACAAACAGGCTTTTAATGTGTGTTTTAAATATTTCTCACTTCAAAAGTGTAAAAAAAGAGGAGCCTCTGTGTAGGATAAAATTGCCGTTGTTCGTACTATAATTTTTTTTTAATAAAATTCACTTTTTGCATGCATGTTCTTAGAATTGTTTGCTTTCTGTTTTAAACATAAATTTTTTGTTTTAAAAAAAAAATAATATAAATTATTATTTTTAAAACAGAAATTAAATATATTCTAATTCTCAAGTTTTGTGGTTAGAAATAGACTTAACTTTATTAATTGATTTAATTCGATTAACAACTCCCACTAATTAATACCAGCAATCACCAGGGAATTCATAACCTAACAAATATATGGAGTTCTATCACACATATGTTTCTAGTTCAATTCAATGCCAATTAATGACTTCAATTGTCCCATTTACCGGTTTACTAAACACCCCTCTCAAAACCAATCATTTTAAAGGGTCATTGATGTCTGAAAACAAACTTGTTAACATAAGTAGTTGGGTATGGAAATCACAATCACATCAAGAGAAACAATCAAACCATTCTTGCCCACACCAAACGAAAACAAATTCTTTCAACTCTGTCTGTTTGATCAGCTTCAACTTGTCACCTATTTGCCAATGGTTTTGTTTTACCCCAAGAAAGAACCCTTCTTGGAAACCTCTCATATCTGTGCTCAGTTGAAAAGATCACTGTCTGAGACACTAACCATTTTCTACCCTATAGCAGGTAGAAGAAAAAACCACACCTTTATCACTTGTAATGATGAGGGTGCTCTTTACTTGGAAGCCAAGGTAAACCATAACATGATTGAGTTCCTCACACCACCTAAGCTAGAATTTCTGAATAAATTGCTCCCATGTGAGCCAAATAAAATGCACCCAAATGGAGAAGTGTTACCCCAAGTACTAGTACAAGTGAACATGTTCAATTGTGGTGGAATAGCTATAGGTACCTGCAATCTCCACACTCTCCTTGATGGTTGCTCTGGAAGCCTCTTCCAAACTACGTGGGCTTCTATCTGCCGTGGGTCTAGGGAGGAGACTCCATCTCCTGATTTCACCTCAGCTTCTTCTTTCTTTCCACCAATAAATCATTTGAGTTTGCATGACCATGTTGGTCAAAATAATGAGGACTCAAAAGTACAAAAAAATTGCACCACAAGAAGGTTTGTGTTTGATGCACAATCCATCAACACTCTAAGAGCTGATGCAAAAGATAATGAAAGCTCAAATTCTCCTACAAGATATGAAGCACTGGCTGCTTTCATTTGGAAACATATGACACTTGCATACAAGATGGAATGTGGAGATAGCACAAGACCAGCAGTGGCTATCCATATAGTGGACATGAGGAGGAGGATGGGTGAGCCTTTCTCCAAATACACCATAGGAAACATTTTGTGGCCAGTAATGGTATGTTGTGAAACAGTGAATGTTGACACTGATGCTAGATATTTGATTAGTATTGCTAGAGAGAAATTTGGAAAGCTATCAAGGGAATTGTTTTTAAGAGTGAAAAGTGATCCCAATATCTTAGGGAGCAATCAGTGTGTGGATTTGCCTCAAGGCATGGAAACAAGGAGTCCAATTCCAACTGTGTTAACAAGTTGGTGTGGTTTAAATTTCAGTGAGCTAGATTTTGGTTGGGGGAAGCCTTTGTGGGCTGGTGTTAGAGGAGGTGATCAGGAAACTCTGCCCAATGTGGCTGTTATCATGGAAACTGGTGAAGGCATGGAAGCTTGGTTGACAATGGAAATTCAACATATAGCTAAATTGGAGAAGAATGAGGAGTTTCTCAGATTGGCTTTGCCTAATCCTAGTGTTTCACACATATAGTTTTGACATCTGCTGATGAATCAATTGACTAGAAACAATTGAAATATTAAGGTTGTTCTACATGTATTGGCCACAAAGAATTGATAAATTGTTATTCTTGCAGATTTTGAAAAATATTGTCCTTGCTGTTTAAAGCAGTCATTTGTCATCCATCATTAATATTGGCATGTTGCATCATCCCATTCCAAAGATCAGTGTTTGGAAGCTGAGCAAAGACTCAAAAATCATTGTTGTTTCTTGTTAGCTGTTTAGCTTATGAATTTCTTGAGGTAGTCATCTGTGAAAGTTACCTTTTTATTTATTTTCTTTTGTATTTTATAGTTGTAGCTTTTCTTAAATTATGAAATGATCATTCCAAGTGCATAACATTTTTTAAAACAAATTTCTAGAGATCTAAGTGATCTTCTGAAATTCAGTAATTAAATTGTATATGCCATTGGGATAGGATAGCCGCATGCACCACTCTCTCCACCCACCAAGGAAAAAGAAACAGATACAGGTCAATAGTGCAACCATTTATTATAGTACAGTTCATATTCATAATGCTTTTTATTATACCTGAACGAACGTTCGACGTTCCATCTTTATTTAATCTCCCAACAAAAATAACTAGTCTATCCGTTTACTTTTCTTTAACGCTTAAATATTATTTTATCATCATTTTATGGAATTAATGAACAATTAATATTTTTTATAATACATAAAGATATAATAAAAATTTAAGTACTATTTTTATAAAAAAATTTAAATTATTATTATTTTTAAAGTTTTTGTACAAACTTTAAACGTTAAAGAAAAAGATGTAACAAGTGATATTAATTCTACTTAAATCATCAATGCATTGAGATGAACAATATGTGTCGAAATTACCTCATGTTATTAAAAATACTATCGACCTTACCGGCAAATATCATGGACATTTGGATGAATATGTTTGAATATATAATTTAATTAAGTATGTATTTAATATTTTTTAAAACGCTAAATAGGGTATAAATTTAGTTATAAAAATTATAAAATGAACTCAACATAGATTATTTTGATAAATTAATTATATTAAAAAAATATTAAAGCAAATTTAAGATGATTATAAACTATTTGCATAAAGCTCTTTTCAACAGGCATCATCGTTTGTGTCATGAAATTCAGATAGAAAGTGGGACAAACACGGATGAGGGAAAGAGTGACACTGCATGTAGTTGTTAGGCTACACCATAATTAGGGTGGATGAAGCTGCACGTGATGGACTGAGATTCTTCCAATTAGATAGTAGTTGCTATCATGTCGGTATGGTGGTGAACTCTCTGCAGAGAGGGAAGGTATGTGTATGATTAATGATAATCCATGCCAAAAAGGGGACAGGGCAAGTCCGAGAACAGATTGATCGTGAAAAGAGAAACAATAACATCCACTTTCTGATATATTTTTTTAACAAATTTATTATGAGAGTGAGACTTATATAATTTTTAATTAATAATTAAAAGTGTGTTAAAAAAATATTATTACTATTCTTTTCATCAAAATATTGGATGACAAATAAAGTTAATTTTTTTTTTATGTAAGAGTTTTAAATCATATGTAGTAAAGAAATGCAAATTATCATGTACTGTATTTGTTCCCTTAATGAGTGCAACGGAGAGAAATAGAAAGCATCTTAATTCGGCGAACCACATTTTTGTGCTTCCTGGCATAGACAACATTGTTCATTATGCTCATGACATAGAAACTAAATAGGGACGCATATCTACCTCATTGACTTGCATAAAAAAGAACTATCACTAGCTGTATCCAACCTACTTCTCTGCCAAATTCATAAATTTCTTAAACAACTCATTAGCTCTAATTCTCCTTCAACAATGTAATAAGGGGTGTTTGAAGGTAAGAAATTTCATATGACTTTGGCAAAGAAATTATGAAATTTGAGTTTAATTATGTGACTTAATATAAATTATTTAATTTATGTAAAATCGTAATTGTTGATATGTTTCGATTAATAGTCAACTTAACATAACTAATTACAATTAATAGTTAATTTTGTGACACCCATATATGTTTCCTTGATAGTATGTTGTCTCTTAGTTTCGTTTTGATCATGAATATGCTGCCAGTCTATTTTACAATTTTTTTTCTTTTACCTTCGGCTGTACAAGGTAATATTTTTAATCCATTTTCACTAAAATTGGGACAGAGCAAGGCAATTAGTCCACTTTTTGGCGAGCTTTAATTTGAATAAGGTGAACAGATTGGACCACTAAGCAATTCCATTTTTTTCTCTAATTTTATTTAAATGCAAAAATAAGATAAAAAAATACAAATGAAAATTTATTTTTTATGAGGAGAAAATTAAAAATCCTAATTAAGTTGAGATTAAAAATAAGAGTAAAAAAATTATAATTACATCAAATAACCTTTATATAGTTTTATATAACAAAAGATAGGTAGATTAAATGAGTAAAATTATCATTACAATACATATTTTTATTATTAATAATATTTTTCTCTCACTTTTTCATATGGTTTTAAATAATAATGAACCTCATATGACATTTATTTTAATATATATAATACTCATCGTGTATACGTATCTTGACAATTACTAGTGCCTCTTTGTTAACTCCTGCAATTAGAAGTTTTACACTTCCCAAAAACATAATTTACACTTAGAGTAAAAGGAAAATACCCTTTTGTCTTGTGAGTGTCCATTCACCTTGGTCAAACAACAATACATGCCGTATATAAGTTTAAGTGCCTTACACATTGAGGCCTAATAATAGACAATAATAGAGTAGCAAAAAGACCACATTATTGTCCTTTGTCAGTACCATCGCTGCCTTTCATTGGAATGATGTGTTGCATTTCGGATCCTCTCCAGCAGAAATGAAATGTCTGGTCAAATTGTAGCAATAAAGTAAAAGTATTAAAAGGCAGGAAAGGATCCAAACTTCGTTATGTTTTAAAAAATTTAATAATACACTCTTAATTATTAATTAAAATTTATTAAAAACTAAAAGTATGAAAAAAAAATGTATAATTAAGAGTGAAAAAGAGTAATACACATTATTTTTATAGTTTTAATAAAAATTAGTCAATAATTAAAAGTATTTTGAAAAACATATATTAACAAATATTTTGATATCAGTTTTCTTATGTGTGTTTGCTCGGTTGATATATATAAATAACTATTTTCTATTTTAAAAAAATAAATACTATTCTCAATATGCACTTACCCATGTACCCTTCTTGACATGGATTATCTAGCTAGCAGGAAGAAAATCCTGTCCCGTGATCAAGTATTTTTTGAATTCACACGCAGTACAGCAACATTATGATCAATACCCCCTCAAGTTTGTTGCCAACAAATAACATCTTGTCTTTTTCGATACATATAAGGCATGGCCACTCAATTATTTTTGCAAATATTAAAGAAGGTCTAAAAGAAACTTTGAAACATGGATAAAAGCTTGGTGTTAATAGTTTGAATTCCTCAAAAGATGTTTAACACTATTCATTCATATATCATGTACCGTACAGAATTAAGTTGAGAATGTAAACACATTTTTACCTTTTTTTAGTCTTAGATCTTCGATATTCAATAATTATATTAGGTTCCGATTAATTTTAATTCACTTGAACCGATTTAGGGGATATAACTCTACTGTAAATGTCTATTTCTGATATCCACAAGAATTAAATAAATGCATTTTTAAAAACTAAATAAGGTTTCAAATTGAAGTAGTTAGAATGACATTATGGCTAGATCGTAAATATTTATTAATCTTATCCATTTATTATAATATTTATTATCTTTTAAATAAAAAATGAATTGTTTCAATAACCAAAATACTCTGCATTGATCATGTTAATGCATGCAGAGGATTTTAGCAGTCACGTTGCATTTATGGTATAGTAGGCAGATGTGATCATTGCATGGCATGATGCGATGATATTACAATTATGGTGGATGTTACAATTATTGTAGGCATATCTGATATTGGCATGACATGGTGCCATTCTGGAAACTAAACAACCATGATGTTCTGGATACACCACGTGATGCGATTTGTATTTTAAATATTAATTAATTCGAAGCTAGTACTATTTTAAATATAAGAATTATTTTGTATTTTAAGAGACATTTTCCCCGAGCCCCATTGGTAGCAAACTCTTACATAATGATGCAGCATTCATTGATATTTCGTTATTGATGAGCAAATTTTTATGTAAGAAGTCAACGAAATTAATATATTAGATTAAGTTTTCAAAAAAGTATTGACAATTTCTCACATCATAAGAAAATTGGTTAAAGAATTAAAATATTTTCATTATTAAAAATAATATTAAATGTATATTTATAATATTTTTTAATGTAAATTTAATATTTTTAATAAATATTTTAAAGACACTAATCAGTAATATTTATATTAATTTATGTACGTAGATTTTTATTTTTTAAATCAAGATTGCTGTTTTTTTTTCTTTATAATATTTGGGAGCTTGGTTCTTAAAGTTGCATGCGGTATGTATGCGTCCACGAAACCTAGTACTTCAAGTCATGATTTTGACACAAGCTAGTTTAAGCATACGCGAATATTAATATATTACTAACATTCTTTACTTATAATAGTACAATATATACAGACTCAATAAAAACATTAAACGAATTGTAATAATTAGTAAGGGTGTGTTTATAATATAATTAAATTACAAAAAAAATGTATAAAAAATTATATTTTTTACAATTTATTTTAATAAATTTTATAAAAAATTCATATTATAAACTCTTATATAAAAAGATTAAAAATAAATATTTAATTAAATTATTCATCTGAATACACCCTCAGTCAGAATCGGTGGCAGTATTGACTGTCAGCGGGAGAGAGTGTGACCCCGAGTTCTTCCTCTACCCTTCAGCTTCGCGCACGTGCTTATATTAAAACTTACCACTTTTTTTTTTTTTTTAATTTGCATACACATTCAGAAAATAATTAAATTTTAAAAGT